GGACCAATGAACCTTCAATGCACCTTCGGACTAATGAACCTTCGGACCAATGAACCTTCGGACTATTGAACCTTCGGACTATCGCTACGGCCCCGTTGCGTCACCAGTGCGTGCGTACTTCCGGTGCCCGCCATTTTATTACCCCAAGCCAGTGTATGAAAGCGTGACGAAGTTGGTACTTTTATCACGTAACCTAAGTACAGTCATGCCAATATGTGGTATAGTTGGATGTACGAATAGACCAAGTTCACAGAAAGGTATTAGTTTCCATAAAATACCAACAATCATAAAAGGTCAAGGCGAGGAGACGCAAAAGTTGTCTGAGGAAAGGCGACGATTATGGAAGGCGGCAATAAACAGGAAAGATATCACCTCGGAGGAGAAATGTGATCGAACCATTGTTTGTTCAAAGCACTTTGTAGGCGGTACGTATATATTTCATTTTGAAACTGTTAATGTGTTTATGTATGTGTGTGTAATTAGTGACGAGTGACAATTATAAACATGTTCTGCTTGTCAGGTGTACAGTAGCCTTTCAGTCAATCTCAATATCTATTACATGTTTATGCTGGGCAATTTGTGTCACATCACTCCTGCTTCATGCACATTTTAACCACGTTTAATTTATAATACATATGCAATACAATTTCTTTTTGTAAATATACTTGTAGGTTTTTAATATCAATAAATTATTTGTCATTATCTAGGTATCAAAGCCTATCTGCATGACAGAACCAGTCCATCCTGGCTTCCAACACTATGTTTAGGGCATTCAGCATGTACTCCAGAATCAGCCACCAGTAGATATAGGCGAGCCAGACAGCGTGGGGAAAAAAGGAAACGTGCAGATGCAATAACTTCACTCTTAAACCTAAAAAAATCGAGGCCAGAATCTGACTTGAAAGAACGTGAACACCCTGAACTTCAAAACATAAGTACAAGTGATGGTGATTCTTTCTTTTACGCTGGTGAGGGCATTGAACAAGACATTCAGCACACTGCCTCTGAAGTACAAGGACCCACAAAATTAACTAAAGACATTCAAACTTTATTAACAATTAATGGTATTGAGAACATTGAAAATGACAATAAAGCTAGACTTCAAGAGTCTAACAGCAGAGTGCCCTTCACACGTCAAGATCTATACAGTTTTGAAGGGTATGAAAAAGATCCAAACAAAGTTTCATTTTATACTGGACTGCCCAATTTAGGAAGTTTGAAACTAGTGTTTAATTTGATAGAAGCACAAATGAGTAATAGCTAGCTCAAAAAGCCTGACAAAAGAAAACCAATTTTTGTTATGCCTTATAAGATTAAGAATGAATTATACTTTTCAAGACATGTCAGTTCAGTTAAATGTGTCACTTGCCACAATTCAGAGATGTTTTCATTCCACACTTGATATTCTTTATAAAAGGCTGAGTTTTTGGTGCACTGGCCAGAAAGGGAGCATGTTAGAGAATCAATGCCAATGGTATTCAGAAAAGAATTTGGTGACAAAGTTGTTGTTATACTTGATTGCTTCGAACTCACAACAGAAAAACCTAGTGGGCCTCTGAACAAGGTGCACACATATTCTAATTACAAACATCGCAATACAGTTAAGTATCTGATAGGGATAGCCCCTCAAGGTACAATCACTTTTATTTCTGAAGGGTGGGGTGGTAGAACCTCAGATTAACACATCACGGAAAAGTCTGGACTGCTGGACAATCTTTTACCTGGTGATATTGTCATGGTAGATAGAGGTTTTTCCATTGAAGAATCTGTCAGTTTTTACCAAGCTAAATTGGCAATTCCCAGTTTTACACGAGGGAAATCACAGTTGCATCCAATGGAAGTAGAAAAGACAAGAAAAATTGCAAATGTACGCATTCATGTAGAGCGGGTTATTGGTTTGGTTTGAAGAAAATTTAAAATTTTTGACAGCATTATACGGTAAAGTGCCATGAATTTCGAACAGCTCTTGAATTTCGAACGTTCTTAAAATCGGCCGTCTGGAGTTTTTTCTGGACCATGAATTTCGGCCAGTAAGCAATTTTGCGCGATCTTGATTTCGTGAATTTCGTACACCTTAAAATCGGCCACCGGGCTATTCTCGCGCTTATAAAGATCTAACAGTCGGCAATGTTGCCCTAGCGTACCTTTACCTGAGTACTACGTGTGTGGCCCAAGGTGCAAGATAATGATCAGTACAGTTAGTTTAGGACGCTAAACAACATCGTCATATCCATTCATTCAGATAACAGGAGAATCTATTAAGAGTTGTACTGTCGGGCTGTTGTTTCTTTACCGGTGTGAGATAGCGATCGGTAGTTTTGCTGAGGCGCACAATAGCATTGTTAACAGTAGAGACTTCAGTAACAGAACAAAAGAGCAATATTAAGAGCTGCAATAAAGATTACCATTATTGCTTTCTTGTCTCGCTCAGATCGTTCACGATCTCCCGCTGACGATCTTCCGCTAATTAAGTCCCTTGAAATGTACAAATGAAATGAAAAATATTTTTAAAAATTATAAATTCCATACCAATGGAGTTTTTGAAGATAATAAGTGGAGAGAGTGTACCTACAATTGACAAAGATGTGAAAGTATGCTGTTGTCTCACAAATTTATGTCCTTCTGTTGTTCCATTTGATTAAAGGGAAGGAACACGTTAACTGTGTGAAGATAAGACTTAAGTGTGTGCATTTGCTGTGGTATTTTAATTATATGTAAAACAAAGAAATAAATACCATGAAAATAAATTCAAAGCAAATTATTTGTCTTATTTTTTACTATAAAATGTTCCACTTGAACTCAGAGAAACATGACCAAAATACTCCTACGTGTTATTTATTACATTCTAAAATTGCACTGAGACATGGCAAATTCAGGTAAAAAAAACTGAATGACAGAATGCGAATTGGAGTAAAATAAAAAAATTTTGATGGCAATTTTCAACGGCCGTTTTTAGGGCCACCAAATGTTAAGAAAAACCAGATCAACTTGTTCAAACAGTTAAAACTCAAGCGGGCACACTAGGCATTCCTGTAGGATACAAGGGTATAGGTTTGACAGTGGATTGGAACATATTGTAAGCCTTTTCTGAGATAAGTGGGTGGTCCTGAAAAGGACCGTTAATAAGTTGTAGATGAGTCTTCTTTGGTTGGAGGCAGCCTGGTACCTCTGCCCCTGCTCTCTTAACTCTGCTGCTGGTCATCTGCTTCGGGCTTGGTCGGTGCAGTGTAGGAGCCAGGTTGTAGTGCTACACTGTGCCATCTTCCAGGGTCGTAGTGTCGCAGACTTTTCACATGGGCTGAATCACAAATCTGAAAAGACACTGCCCCTAAACGCAGCCAACACTATCATGGAACTGCTGAAAGATAACCCCTTCACCGATTAGTATTACATAAAACCGCCACCTGGTTAGAAATAAAAACTAATAATAACTATAAAAACTGGTCGCAGTCCCAGACTGTGCCATCTTCCAGGGTCGTGGTGTCGCAGATTTTTCACATGGCTGAATCACAAATCTGAAAAGACACTGCCCCATAAACACAGCCAACATGATCATGGAACTGCTGAAAGATAAACCCTTCACCTATTAGTATTACTTTAAATAGATACCTGCTCAGATATATACAAAGTACCAATCACTATAAACACTGGTTGTACTGCTGGACTGGGCCATCTTATATGCCTTTTTTTACTGAAACTGCTTGGGTAACCCACTACGTAGCAGATAGAAGGAAACAACTCTCTCTACGCGTTTTTTTTATTGAAACTGCTAGGGTAACCCACCGCGTAGCAGAAAAACTCTTTACGCGTTTTTTTTAAAATTGAAACTGCTAGGGTAACCCACCACGTAGCAGATAGAAGGAAACCACTCTCTTTACGCGTTTTTTTTTCTTATTGAAACTGCTAGGGTAACCCACCACGTAGCGGATAGAAGGAAACCACTCTCTTTACGCATTTTTTTTTCTTATTGAAACTGCTAGGGTAACCCACCACGTAGCAGAAGGAAACCACTCTCTTTACGCATTTTTTTTCTTATTGAAACTGCTAGGGTAACCCACCACGTAGCAGAAGGAAACAACTCTCTTTACGCGTTATTATTATTTTTTTAAAATTGAAACTGCTAGGGTAACCCACCTCGTAGCAGAAAAAAAATCACAATATAAAAGTTCCTCTTCCACTTCTAATCATTTTTACACTTACAACAGAACCATTTTCCTTTAGGGACTCTTTTCATCTTTATACAACGTAAATGATACCACACTGTAGTACAATTCTCATTATCACATGCAATCATTTTACTGCCATCATCCGTTCCATTACATAGACAATAATTGTCTTGAGAGACAACCTGAGCGTCAGGACAACTGTTCACTGGAACCTCCTTTAAGGTATGTTTTTTTGTGAAGTATCCACATAACAATTCAGGCATGATAACCTGCTTGTGAAATACTCTCGCCTTTGAAGAAATATCTTCCCACAGTAAAAAAATCCTTTCTAATGCTCTCGCAGTGGAAAACATAAGGCGACCACACAAAAAAATCACAATAATCTAAACCAGACACAAACAGCTGCATTTGAACTTGATAATAATACGGACAGTCCTTCTTTATCTGAAGCTCCCCATCTACAGTTTCAAGCCATGGCATCTGAATGCAAGACGCATCTCGAAGAGAAAAAGGACATTTGATCTCCAAGAGACCCTTGCCACAGCATTCACAAGAGACCAAACCATCAGGGCTGGCCCCAAACTCAGGGTAGTCTGGGTTGATCAACAGTCCACAGGCTTCCACTTTAAAATCAATGTGAAAGGGTGACATATACTTCACATAATCTTTCCTTGCCACTTTTTCCTTTTTTATTCCCCATTCCGTTGGTGCACTATGAAAAAACTGTGGATAACACACAGATTTCACGACAGAGATAGAAGGCTTCGCCAAATCAGTGTGTACAACAGAGTACAACTTTGATGCAGTGATACGTCCCAGTCGATACTGTCTCCAGTAAGGTGACTTTGTCTGTTCAACTGTACTCTCTGCTACATAACCTGCCTGGGTTACAGATATATCAATACCTGCTGTATGTTGAAGAATGTCCTCTATATTGGCATCAGCAAAGGCTGGGTTTTTTACTGTATTGAAATCAATCGGCCATTGTCCAAAAAGAGCTTTGGGCTTAAAAGTGTGCACGAACTGGGGATTTATTGCACCTGCAGTTCCTCAAAAAAGTTATTCATTTCACTCTTTGTAGGGGATGAAAAATCATCATCCTTCAGCACCACATTACTAGTCGTCCCTTCCGTTTTTCTTCGTTTTGCTGCAGACTGGAAGTCCATGTCCCCGACACGCTTGTATGGTTCCCTTAGATTACTGGAGGATGGAGCCACCCAGTATGCAGGCACATCAGTAACTGACGTTTCCTTCCTGACCCTAGTCCAGGTTTCTAGCGCAAAAAGCAGGGCTGCTACATGGCTGCAGCTCTCTCCCAGATCAGCCATACATGTGCAGTGTGCACTTTCAATGGATCCTTCTCCTTTTATGATGACCCAGGGTTCAAGAGGTTTTTCCCTTACACGTAGCGAGTGATGCACCTTAAATATGAAAAAGGACAAAAGTAAGCAACCATACACATGAAACAAGGATAGACATAGAGCCATATTACAGAGTTTATTTAGCAACATTTAGAACATATTTGAGGGCTGTTACTGCAGTCTTATTTAGTTATTTTTCACAGGCTTCTTTAACATAAAAGAGGGCAATTTATTATCAATTTTACTTATGCACACCAAAAGAAAAAATTCAATATTTCAAATTACTTTTGAGTGTTAACACAGTGATGATGAAACATGAAAAAAAAAACTGATCTAAATGATGCCTACAGTCAGTAGTACAAAAGATATTCTCCCCTTCTGCCAGAGATAAAAACTAAGAGATCTGAAATAATGCCTACTCTCATGAATGTTAGTAAAAACAACATCAAACTGATCACTCTGCATTTATGCAAAATATTTTATTACCTTAGATTTTAACAGGTGAAGACCATTCACTTCTTTGTGTAGGACGTCTTTTACCCATCCATCCTGGAAAAGTTTATAAGCTTCCAACGACTTATAGTTCCTCATTTCCTCCTTAGAGTATGCTGACTTTTGAAAGATCAGATAGTGAATTATGTCTACAATGTTCACCTCTGGCCATGTGTCTTTGTCCGATGTTAACTCCTTTGAGGACAGCCTGTACGGGTCTACACCGATCTCTTCTATCTTGGCGTCATAACGAGCTTTGACTCTCTGTAAGAACTTGACTTCTTCTCCATAACAATAACAAAAAAGTAACAAATAAGCAATCAACAAGTGAAATTTAACAAGAAAACGACTTACTTCTTAAGCAATGGCTAAGCGTGTAAACAGCAGCAGCTTGGGTAGAAAGATGGCGGATCGCGTTGCATTGTGGGACAGAACACTCAAAGTTGTGATGCACGTGAAAAGAAAGGATAGAACCTTCGGACCAATGAACCCTTGATTAAAAAATCGATGAAAATTACCACTTTTCGGACCAACGAACCTTCGGACCAATGAACCTTCGGACTATCGAGACTCCCCCCAAAGAAACTCCTTGGTCTGTTGTTGTCATCATTGTAGGTGCCCGTCGTCATGTCGATACTCCCCCGCACCGGTATATCCCCTCAGCGTAACTCCCCCCCCCCCCCCCCCACCCCACACACACACACACACACACACACACCGATACTCCCCCACAGCATTGCTTCCCCACATCAATACTGCGGGGGAGTATCTGCGTGGGGAAGTATAGGGATGTAACCGTCATTACCGTGCACTTTAACTTTTGACCCTATTGATGAATGATCATGTGACTTTTAAATCTTAAAACACACTGCTGGAGTGATTTGCAAAGGGCCACTGTACTAGTAATAAAGA